CCCCCTATTTATTATTATTTTTATTTTTTTTATGTTTTATTTTATGGATAAGTTTGATTCCCCTTAATTTGCTCCATTTGTGTTACTAAGGTTCGAGCACTAGCTATTTCCTGTGTGAATTACGGAGGATACAAGCTTCAGCCTTTTCCCCTGGCGGCTCTTTCCAAGTTCCTAATGATGAAGGTAAAATCCTATCTAGTATTAAGGATTTTGATTAGAAAAAAAAGTTCAGCTCTCCACATTCTGAATTTGGCTGCTCTAATGCATGGTTATTTAGGAATGGGAGTTAGAGTCTTTCTGCAATGACAGTGGCCTTCAGACCTCCATCGATGAAGAAGGAAATAGTTGCTTGCCTACCAAGCAAACAACTCTTATCCATCCAAAAGGAGGGTTGCACAAGTATTATCCTCTGGAGTCAGATCGGTTCGAGAGGTGAGTCCTACAAATTTCTTCATTCATTCCCCTACAGGAACAATTAAAATCGTTGAAGCAAAGCTGAAAGATCTTAAATTATGAGAACAAACTTAAACACTTCTTCCTTTTGCGAAAGTAGGCTGGCTGTATGAGCTCTAAGTTACCAGGTAAATTAGAATATGTGGGAGTCCAAGTAAGAGCATAACCTTGTACTAGTGTGACAGGGACCAACTTCACTATAAATATGGAGCAATTTATCACTAAGTCAACCATCATGTTGCTAAAAAGAATTCTCACGTATGTATGTATGTAGATGGATGTATAATTAAATTTTATGCTTCTGGTAGCGAATGAAAATTACTTGAAGATTCTAAAGTAATTTAATTGGACCTTTACTATCTGATGCCAAGGCTGATTGGTCGATCTTCTCTGGCATTGATTTATTACTCTCTAGCAATACATAACCCTGAAGAAGGGAGTAAATGGATTTCCGGGCCATAGTGATTACCTGCTCACTTGCTTTTGCTATGCTCGAAATCCGTAGTTGACCGACATACATTTTTGAAGTACTTGGGATTTTGGATCCCATCTGTCCAAGCCTTGGTGGATAATATTACCTAGTACCTGCACTGGTGGGAGGTAGGAGGTACCCCGGAATTAGTCAAGGTGCACACGAGCTGGCCCGGACACTACAGTTATAAAAAAAAATTAATTTTTCACATTCTTACGAACAAAGTGATTACTATATCTTGATCCTCAGCTAATTGCAGAAAGCAAAATTACTGCATTCTCGGAACTTGATGGTTGCTGCACAAACAGTGCAGGCTCCCTGCTAACTGCTAAGTCAACCTTTTTGTTTCAGGTTATCTGTTGAACTGTAAGAGCTTAGGTGGACGCGACACGAAAAGTTGTGTGTTAAAGCCATTCGATTGGCTTGGTCGAGCTAGTTTGAGACTTCAGATTCAGCATAAGAAGAGCTCTAGATCTAGTTTACATGACAGTATTCTGATCTTCATACATGCCTCATTTTGAAAGTAATGTGCATCACCAAAAGATCCTTAAACCATTCCATTTAGATGTGTTTTAAGGTTTGCATTTTGCATACTTCTTGAATTTAGTAGTCTATTTCTGTCCTTCCTCCCCCTTTCCTCTTTTCCCTCAGGAGGCATTGTATCATAATTCCTGTCACTTTATACCATATAGAAAGAACAACAAAGAACAAAGCTGGCCGAGTAGTTGTGCTTACAAATATGTTTCTTATACAAGAGTCTTAGTTGATGGGATAAAGATATTTGTTGAATTTACTTCTTTTTTTCTATCAACGGGACCTGCGGGATTGGGATCATCTAACGCTAGCGTGATTCTGTCGGACCAAGACGCGAGGCTTTCATCAGACAAGGGCTGGAAGCACAGTGGCTATCAAACGGCAAATCAACTCTTATAGTGGATTGTTGAGAAAACGAGAATCTTGTCAACTTAATGCCATCTTCTTAGCTCGTTGGAATTTTGTAAGCGTCTTACAGGAGATATTGCTTGAATTAGTACAGAAACCAAAAACTACGTACTCAATTATCAAGAAGGGGAGTGGCAATTCAAGGATATTTAGTGCTGGCTTTGATCGTTTATATGAACTTCAGCATTTGAACCTTTTTATCATTTATTTTCTAATGTCAAATTTTAACAGTGTACGCTATAACATAGGTACTCTCTCTCATTTGTCTTATCCCTCCAAGTTTTTTATTCAAATCCACTACCCAAAATTGCCTATTGCACTCTCTTTTTTCTCATTTTCAGTCAATTGAGCAGTATTTGATGGGTAACGGTAATAGCAAATACCAATTTGCCATTAATTTATAGGCCTGCGCATTCACTTGGTAACTGTTTCCTTGTCCCAAGGTTGTTTCGAAAAGATCAAGGTTTTTTCTTCAGATGGCAAAAGATCAAGTTAAGAAAGCGAGGGTAGAGTTTGTGGTCCTTTGGATATAGGAGTTTGAGAATAATTCTTTTCAAACACAAGGAGACCAGTAGAATAAAGCGATGGATATAACGACTATGAATGTCTCTTATTTGATTATTGGATCATTTCAAAATGGAATTTGACATGATACGGCGCTAATAAGTTTTGCTAGTATTAACAAAGTAATTCTTTGCATCCTTTTCATTAGGTATGCCTGGTTTATAACAGGGAACAACATAGTTCGATACCATCTTTTTTACAGGACCAGGGGAATGGAAAACATGGGCAGATCCAAAATTTTAACAAGATGGGTGCACACATTACTAATTGAAAAGGCATAGATGCCAAACATGTGACTCTGGGGTAGTCGAGCTGAGATCTGTAAGTAATTGGTGGAGGGTTGGGAGTTGCACGATAGAAACGGGAAAATAGTCATTTCTTTTCCCAAATGAATTTAATTTTAGTTAGTTTTTATATGCTAATACTGTAAAAATATTTGTACTATCAAGTCAACTGTGCTAACAACAACAACATACCCAATATTATCCCATATCGAGGGGTCTGGGGAGGGTAGTGTGTACGTAGACCTTACCCCTACCTTGTTAAGGTAGAGAGACTGTTTCCAATAGACCCTCGGCTCAGGAAAACATAAGCACCACATTAATTAAAAGATAGACAAGGAGGAACAATACCAAAACGCCATGTAAAAGCAGCATAAAAACAACACGATGATAAGATAATCAAAATGAAGGAAAACGACAGGTAGTCATAGAAACCTACTACTAACAGAATGCGAGAGTGGGTACTAATACTACTGGTATGAACAATCTACCACCTACCCCACTACCTTAATCCTCGACCTTCACACCTTCCTATCAAGGGTCATGTCCTCGGTCAGCTGAAACTGCGTCATGTCTTACCTAATCACCTCTCACCACTTCTACTTCGACCTACATCTACCTCTCTATAGGCCCTCCAATGTCAACCTCTCACGCCTTCTCACCAGGGCATATATTTTCCTCCTCCTCACATGTCCAAACCACCTAAGCATCGCTTCCCGCATCTTGCCCTCAATGGGAGCCACACCCACCTTGTCGCGAATAACCTGTTACACCATGTGCGTCTCAAGGTGACGTATAATGAATATGAGACTTGTTAGTCATGATTTAAATGAGTTTAAAGTCATAATATGACTATATATGATGTTTGGATAAAACATATAAAGTTTGGAAAAAATCGGATTAAAGTTGCGGAAAAACCAACTAAGGATTTGCCATGTAACAGAGCTTTTTGAGAAATATATTTTGTATGTTATATTAGGTATTTTGGGACATATTATATATCAAATTGAGGGTCTTGGAATGTAGTTTCCAACGCTCTTAACCGTTCGTTCATACGATATCCGGATAAAAAGATATAAGCGTCGGAAGATGGGCGAATCAGAGGGTGCCAAGCTAGCACCTTTTGACTTTTCAAAAGTTGATATATTATTTTTTACTCGTCTCTCTCTCTTCATTTTTACATAGCATCTGACCAGAGGACACCATAAACGGTCCTTGAGCTCTCTAATATTGCTTCAAACAAGACTATCATCTCGGACACGAAATCAAGAAGCGATAACATTAAAACGATCCCTACGACGTAAGTATCGCTATATCGCCTCTCTTTTTCTTTGTAGTTTGAGTTTTGGAATGTATTTAATAGTTAATAAAAATTCTTAATTTCTGTATTTAAGCTTTAAAATATCAAGAAAAGTTGACAAATTCGTTTCCTAATAGTTAGACCTCGCGGACGGTGATCGGAAGTCGTGAGTTTGAGTTATTTGACTTATAGTGGACTGTTTTGTGGGTTGTTTCGTGTTGTTTTTGGGTTGTCTATTGTGCTGCTGATTTATGGAGTTTGGAAGGATAAAAAGGGCGTGGAGAAACGCCACATGTGATAGGGTAGTAGGTTGGTCGCTCGTCATTGTAGTTACATGCTAATTGATAACTTGTTGTTTGGATGTATTATGGTATATTTGGGAGGTTTGTTGTATTGAAGGTCCCGAATTGTAATTAGGTTGGTTTTGAGTTGCTGATTTTATTATGTTTGTGTCTCGCCTATAGTAGGCTTGAGGGAGCAGTAAAATCAGGGGAGATGCTGCCCGTTTTATTTTATAATCGAGTTATCGTTTGAGATACGTAATATACTACCGCCATCTAAATTGTATACGTATTTCTTTGTTATAGGGTTGGCGCGCTAGTTGTCATAAGCTTGTTGTTGAGTTGCATTGACGACTTGAGGTATGTTAAGGCCATCCCTTCTTTCCTTTTGGCATGATCCAAATGATACAAACAACACAAGCAAAATACGCAACTTTCATAAATGACTCTATTCATAGAAATACTAGGGGTGTCTATATTCTTGATTCCCCATGTGAATTATTATTATATCCTTTATTCATGGATCCCAGAAAAATACGTATTTGATAAAGTTTGTCCGAAAGGAATATTAATTTTATGATATTCGAGAAATCTTATTAACGTATTTCTTATACATTTCATGCATTTATACATGTACATTGACCCATGACCAGAAGGCGTTATATACGCGTATATTATATGTAAATAGGATATGAAAAAAGATTAAGGCGTTATATACGCACCACCACCTGATCAGCTGGTATATGTTGATGATTTTGCCCACAGTGGCCGAGATGGTACGATGGAATGACCTCAGAGGCTTGATGATGTTATGTACACCTATACCTATGCATGATACGGCATTTACACACACGTGCATGACATTATAAATGTTTCAGAATTCACAAAGTTATTTAGACTCACATGTGAAATTCTTTACCCTATGTTTCATCTATGTCTTTTATGTACTGATTTTCATGCTTTACATACTCAGTACATTATTCGTACTGACATCTTTTTTTGCCTGGGGAACGCTGCGTTTCATGCCCGCAGGTGCAGGTAGACAGGTTGACGGTCTCCCTTCTTAGGATCCTTGATCAGCGAGAGTTGGTGTGCTCCATTTGATCCGGAGCTGCTTTGA